TGTCAGAAGGTTGGAAGTGTTCCCTTTTTTTTAAATGTCTTTGTATGATGTATTCACACATTCTACATACACAGTACCCTTTACTGAAAACAGTTGAACTCAATAATTTCAAGCTGTTTCTCCATACTTTTGGCCATATAGTTTAAGTATGGTGGTCAGGTGTCCAAAAACTTGGCTGTACAGTGTATCAGTGTGCAAAAATAAAATTGCTGCCTCATAAATATTTACTGCTATAAATATAATTTCATATATTTAAAATGTATTTCAGAAAATGTAAATAATATGGTTAAAAGAGAAGTATGGCATTTGGAAAAAAAATGATGCTCACCTAAGTGAATGCAGCATTGATTCGATGCTGCATCTGTCCCCGGTTGGCTTTGCACTGAGAACTGAGCAATCAAAGACCACTGATCACTTGGTTCTCAGCATTCTGTTAGCAGAGAGCCATGGATTGCTAGTCTTCAGCTCTCTGCTTTGACCCATTCCATTGTTGCAAAGAGTATTCTTACATATACAGTTAGGTCCATATATATTTGGACACAGGCACAATTTTCATACTTTTGACTCTGTATGGCACCAGAATAAATTAGAACAAAACAATCCAAATTAATTTGAAGTGCAGACTTTCAGCTTTAATTCAAGGGGTTGAACATAAATATCAAGTACAAATTTTAGGAACTGCAACTATTTTTATACACAGTCCCTCCATTTTCAGGGACTCAAATGTAATTGGACAAATTATTATTATTATATTATTATTATACAGTATTTATAAAGCGCCAATGGTTCGCTCAGAGCTGTACATTACAAAGGGGGACAGAACATGTGACAGAACAATACCAATACAATGCAAAACATGAGGGGATCGAGGGCCCTGCTCTTTCGAGCTTACAATCTAGGAGGGAGGGGATGGTGGCACAGGAGGAAATAAGTGTGGGGGATGGAGTGGTAGGAAGAGTGGAGGAGGTCGGCAAGTTAGCAGGGGGTGGGGTAGGCTTCCCTAAAGAGATGGGTTTTCAGGGTGCGCCTAAAGGAGAGGAGAGTAGGTGATAATCTGATGGGTTGGGGCAGGGAGTTCCAGAGGATGGGAGACACCCTGGAGAAGTCCTGGAGGCGGGCATGGTAGGAGGAGACCAGGGAACTAGAGAGAAGGAGGTCTTGTGAGGAGCGGAGTGTGTGTGCTGGGCGGTACTTGGATATTAGGTCAGTGAGGTAGTTCGGGGCAGTATGGTGGACAGCTTTGTACGTCAGTGTTAGGATTTTGAATTTGATCCGTTGCGCAATCGGAAGCCAGTGGAGGGATTGGCAGAGGGGGGTGGCGGAAATGGAGCGGTTGGAAAGGTGAATGAGTCTGGCAGCCTTATTTAGGATCGACTGAAGCGGGGATAGCCAGCGGCGAGGCAGGCCAGAGAGGAGGGAGTTGCAGTAGTCGAGTCGTGATATGATGAGGGAGTGGATGAGCTGCTTAGTGGTTTCTGGGGGGACAAATGAATATAATCATAAATAAAATGTTCATTTTTAATATTTTGTTGAGCATCCTTTACTGGCAATGACTGCCTGAATTCTGGAACCCATGGACAGTACCAAAGACTGGGTTTCCTCCTTTCTGATGCTTTGCCAGGCTCTAACTACAGCTGTCTACAGTTCTTTGTGGGTCTTTCAGCCTTTAGTTTTGTCTTCAGCAAGTGAAATGCATGTTCAATTGGGTTGAGATCAGGTGATTGACTCGGCCATTGCAGAATATTCCACTTCTTTTCCTTCAAAAACAGATGACGTTTTGGATCATGAGCTGTTCCAAGCCTTCTCCACACTTTTTTTTTTCTTCCCATCATTCTGAATCTTAGTTTCATCCATCCAAAGAATGGTTTTCCAGAACTGGTCTGGCTTTTTTAGATGTTTTTTGGCAAAGTCTAATCTGGCTTTTCTATTCTTCAGGCTTATGGATGGTTTGTACCTTGGTGAACCCTCTGTATTTGCTCTCGTGAAGTCTCCTCTTGATTATAGACTTTGACAATTATATGCCCACCTCCTGGGGAGTGTCCTTCACTTGTCTGGATGTTGTGAATGGGTTTTTTCTTTACCATAGAGAGGATCCTGCGATCATCCAGCACTGTTGTCTTCCATGCCTTTTTATGTTGCTGAGTTCACCAGTGCGTTCTTTCCTCAGAATGTACCAAACTGTTTATTTGGCCCCCCTTAATGTTGCTGCTATCTTTCTGATGGATTTGTTTAGTTTTTGAAGCCTTACAATGGCCTGTTTCACTTGCATGGACAGCTCCTTTGAACGCATGATATAGGTTCACAGCAATATATTCCAAATACAAATACCACACTTAGAATCAACTCCAGACCTTTTACCTGCTTAATTGATGAAGAAATAACAAAGGAGTAACCCACACTTGGCCATGAAAGAGCTTTTTATTCAATTGTCCAATTACTTTTGGGGAATGGCTAATCTTAAGAGCTGTAATTCCTAAACCCTTCCTCCAATTTGGATGTACATACCCTTTAATTAAACCTGAGAGTGTGCACTTTCAGCCCATATCCATTATATAGCTAAAGCTTGAATATGTTTTGGTAAATACCTAAAAAAATCTAAAATTGTGCCTGTGTCCAAATATATATATCGACCTAACTGTATGCTACGATGTTCTGTATGGGAAGCAAATCCTAATATGAGTGTGTGTTTATCTAGACACCACCATTGTTGTATTTAAAAAGAGTATGGGAAAAAAAAAACCTGTATATGTTCACCTAGATGGCAGCAGTTTGCTCTGACAGGCATCATCTCTTTCCTCTGCCCCTCCAATGTTCACTGAAGCACTGGACCTGTGGAGGGGGGGGGGGGGGGGTGAGCAGGTTGGCTCAGTGCCACTGAGAGGCTGAACCAACTTCTGGTCACACTTCTGGGCGGATCCCAACATTATTGTCGGGAACCCTACAGAGCCTGGACTGACTCTGTGACATCATCTGACATCTCATGTAGGGTGTTTTGTGTGAAAGTAAAGTATTGTATTGTAAAATTTTTGAAGCTTGTGCTTCATTAAATGATGCGATATGTAAGGTTACATTGAAGTACCATTTTGTCTACAGATTTCTAGATAATCACATGTCTGTATAAATTTGGCTCTGCTTATGTCATAAAAAGTGCATACTTAATATGCACTGAATGCTTTTGCTTTATGTGCCACATTTAATTTAGTCACATAAAATCACATCAGTATTTCGTTTCCATACTAGTGTCTTGCTGTGAGTCCATATGGAATTGCACCATCTTTGTTTTGAATTTTAGCAATGATTGTGTGTCAACGTTAATGCACACATACACGTAGTGGAAATATGTATGCATGCACATGTTGTGTGTTTATATTGTAATGTAGGCTACTTTGTGTATTTTTTTGTTTTGTGTATAAATATGTGGATAGTAGTCTTTGCATATAGCATAGCCAATGCACATATATTATGTGGTTACTGAAGTTATACTTTGAGGCGATAACAGCTTGGGGAATCAACCTGTTTTAATTAAGGCAAGCGGCAACGCGCTGTCCTGGCTTGAAATGCCTTGCAGCAGAGATGCATATTCATATCGAATGCTCTAAATCCAATTTAACCTCGTTTAAATATGTCAGCCAAGTTGGCATAGACACTGTTTAGTTCTTTTGCCCTTTTCAAACCATGGCCCGCCCTGCTCCCCTACGGCACAATTATGCAAATGATCCTGTGCAATATATGTAATTTAAAGATTTTGTTCATTTTTTTCAGTCTGCATCACATTTTACATGACAGTTCAACAAATATACATTTGTACAGCTAAGCGGCAAAAAATCCATATTCCCCTGAAAGCTATCTCATGATAAATGTAAAACTCGTATATCCAGTATTATGAATGGATAGAGGGGGTCATCTTGATACATTTTACAGTGGTTGTTGGGCAATTAACATTCAGTTAACATTGCAGCTTTGAATGTCTGTATGGAGGGAGCAGAAATGTTGTTTTCACGTGGCACAGTGAAATATTACCTATCAGTTTATGGCCATGAAGTCATCCATACGTCTGTCAAAATTCATATAGTTGCAAAGCAGAGTAAAGGAAAACTAACTAGATTTTGCTTTAGCAACCAATAAAAAGTTTTCTTCAGTCTTCACATCTGCAGCTTGACTTCAGGTAGATAAGCGTCTTTCCTAATATATAATGTACATTTCTATGTGAAGTATACAAAATGCATTCTACTGATACCAGTTAGTACTTTGTAACAATGAGTTCTGGTGTTGCAATACTCTTTAATTCATTGCTGGTTCCCAAGGATTGCAAATGCAAATACAGTAAACTCTGGTATATCGGTTTAGCTTCTTTAAAGTGGTTGGTTCTAAAGGTAGAAGGTGTTTTTATCTTAATGCATTCTCCGCATAAAAAACTTTCTGCATGCAGCTCCCCCCAAGCCCCCCCCCCCCTTATACTTGAGCCAGTGAGAGAGGAGCAGGCTGAGGGGCTGAGCCATGCTCTTTGTGTCAATAGACACACAGAGCAGGCCTGCATGAGTGCCCCAATAGCAAGCAGCTTGCTATGGGGGCACTTGGTATGGGGGAGGAGCCAGGAGCTCCAGCGGTGGAATCGAGAAGAGGATTGGGACTGCTCTGTGCAAAACCATTACTACTTAGAGCAGGCAACTATAACATGTTTGTGCTTTTATAGAAAAAAAAATGAGCATTCACAACTTGTTTAAAAGATAACTTGTCTTGATTGAAAAAAAGCTGCTTGTGCTGTGCTCCCCTTCCTAAGATGCTAATAGTTTTACCAATGTAGATCCTCTGGCTTTTCTACTGACACTGACCCAGAATAAGTATGCATATTTTGATCTAAAAATTTCGAACAAACCCATTTTAAGTCAGAATTCCTTTCTAACTAGAAACCATTGAAATCCCATGTGAGGTCAGCAGCAGATAAAAGTCCTGTTCTAGTTTTATATTCTCTAACTTTTTTTTTTTTTCCTTCTTGACAGATGAAATAAATTGGCCTGAAAGGGATGAAGCTCCACCCTCTGACGCTCAGGACCTCATTACATTACTGCTCAGGCAAAATCCCCTGGAAAGATTGGGGACAGGTAACCCGCATTGCTGTTATATTATTCATGCTTTGTAGCATTTGTCTTTAAGTTCAGCCCTTGGCACATTCTAGCAACTAGAAGAAAAGCATGTGTTTTAACATATTTGTATAGCTTTTCATATAGCAGCCCTAAAGCATATTTCCACTTTTGCAGTCAAATTTGAGGAAATTCCACTATTTATTATGTTTCCATTCACACAGCTTGCCTAAAAAATAAAAATATATATTTCTTATTTTTTACTTGTTTCTCAGGAGAAGGCGTGATGGTTGACTGCAAGGTTTTTTGAACAATGTCAGTCTGTCATTAGTGTACATGCAAAAAGCCTCTAAACCTTTTACCCTGTGTTAGGGCATACAGTGTTCAAATCTAGTTACAATTGATAATGAAAATCTGCCTGCACAGAACATAGAAATAATTATGTCAAACAGCTGCCCAGCCCTCTCATAAACAAAAAGAACTAGTAGGATTGTTTGCTTACTGGAAGGTCCAGAAGAAAGCATCTAAAAAAGGTAATCTGCAATTTGTGAATGTTTTTATGCTATGTGAATGGGGACATGTAACAAATATAAAGTCGGTGTTCTAAATTGGCTGCAAAAGTAGAAATATACTTTAAAGCAAACATCTTTGTCTGTTATAAGAGAAAGGGGAAGACTGCCAATACTGACCACCAGGGGCAGACTGACAACTCATGGGGCCCCCGGGCAATAGGGGATCATGGGGCCCCTGTGTCCTTGCCCAAACTCAAAAAAGCCTATGAAAAAGGTACCAGGGGCATCTCATGGGGCCCCCTATTGACCCCGGGCCCTCGGGCAGTGCTCGAGTTTCCAAATGGTCAGTCCGCCCCTGCTGACCACCCCTTTTGCAAATGTAAGTAGCTAACCTGTTATGCTAATTTTCTGACCTAAATAGTAATAAAGTCCTTGACCCAGAGCAAGGTGGCAGTAAAGGCCCAAAATGGTACACTGACTTTCCTAATATGAATATTCATTCCAGATCAGTTACTCAGTTTTGAAGGTTCAGTATGACAGCCTCAAAGTATTGAGGTCTCACATAGCAGCCTATCAGCCGGGCATCTAACATTTTCAGGAGGATGTCAGTAATAGTAATTGCCATGTTTCTCTGATGATAGGTTTAACAGAAGTTGTCTTTTTTCCCCAATTCTCTTCTTTTGATGGGTCCATAGACCTTTGTGAGGACAGCACTAAAATTGGGGAACACACTGGCCCCTGTTTTACAGATTCCCAAGTACTAAGAAGGGAAGGGAATTGCAGTAACATTAGGGATTTTGTTAAAAAGTTTAAGAGCAGCCAGGTTGTAAATTTAAAATTTTGTGGAAAGTATGTGAAGCCCTCTAAATTAGTTAAGATTAGGTCACCTTTTGACGAAAAATAATAAATGCACTCTTTTTGCAAGAAAAGGTAAGTTGTAAAGAAAGCCGACGATCCCCGCAGGATGGATCAGATCTGCGGATTGAGGAGCATAATGAATCAGAGTCCGATCCATTATGCTCAATCCGCAGATCCGATCCATCCTGCCTGGATCGTCGGAGTGGGTGTCACCAAGTGTTATCGCACTGTGTGACACCAACCCTAGGGACACCCCTGAGTGTATCATACAAACACGTGCTACCAATAATCTGCTTCAATATATTAGATACACAAATGTAACATTATCAAGAAAGATGTCTTATGAAGCAGGTGACCCGTCTGAAGTTGGTTTTCACTGCACAGATCTCAGGCCCCCTCATCTTGTTAGGATGTGACAACTTGCAATGTTTTCATGACTGCTTAGCTGGAGATTTAAACTGCAAAGAGTGGCCTCATTTGAAATAATGTATTGAAAAATAGAAATTATTGTTAGCGACCACTTTATTAACTAACAAGTACTGTGCAGCCACGGTCTTATTGTTTATTGGCTCTCTAAAGTGTCTGCCTGTGATCTCCAGTAAGGGTCCATTTCCACTGCAATGTGTGTGTTGAGCGCGCAAAAATGCACATGTACTGGCATGCTGTGTTGTGTTTTAACATGCTTCTATGTTGTGCTGTACACATTTTTTTTTTTTTAATTTACAAAGTCTTATTTGTAAAGGAAATGTCAATGTACTGGTTCTACTATTGCATTTATGTACACTGCAGTGCGCTTACATGTGTTTGTATGTGATGCGTCAACTGCTTTTATTAAAATACTTTGCTTTTACAATGTATATGTGCTGATTTGCGTAGATCAGAGCATGCCATTGCATATGGCATGACTGGACCTTCATGTTAGTGTAGCAGGCCAGAATACAGTAAGGAGTTTTTTTGTCTGTCACTTGACAACTGACTAGAATCGGCACACAAAAAAAAATATATGCTGCAGCAAAAAAATAAAAACACTCTTTTATTTGAAGATTTTATGTCTCCTGGACAGGACTGTAGAATACAAAGTATCTGCGGCACCCATTGTTTCTACTCCCACTGGTCTCCTCTGTGCTTCACAAATTTTAAGAAATGCTGTTATAGCAACTTCAGGCGCTCCCTGTCAAAACAGATCAGAACTACATTTCTATCATTGAAACCACATGGGACTCATCTGAAACAGGAACTTTCATTATTGCAGAGTCACCAACAGTTTTGCATGATTACACAATTTCTCAACAGTCTGGCAGTCTCTTTCAGTTACTTGTGTTATTTCTATGAAATAAATGTAGTCCATGTGTGATTGAGACAGGAGTCTGGTGCCAAAAAATGGAAATCTCAAAATGAGTAGGGAAGTTCAGATTTTTGTACAATTGTGCCCAGGAATGTATTGAATGTGTGCATCTTAAGTATGTTCTAACCAGCTGCCTTATACTGGTAATGGTTTTAGCGTGAATGTTTCAGTAGGAGGACCACATATTATATTTTATAAACCCCCTTACATTAGGGTCCCCATCAGAGCCCCCTTTACATTAGGGTCCCCATCAGAGCCCCCTTTACATTAGGGTCCCCATCAGAGCCCCCTTTACATTAGGGTCCCCATCAGAGCCCCCTTTACATTAGGGTCCCCATCAGAGCCCCCTTTACATTAGGGTCCCCATCAGTTCCCCCCTTACATTAGGGTCCCCATCAGTTCCCCCCTTACATTAGGGTCCCCATCAGTTCCCCCCTTACATTAGGGTCCCCATCAGTTCCCCCTTACATCAGGGTCCCCATTGGAGCCCCCCTTACATCAGGGTCCCCATTAGAGCCCCCCTTACATCAGGGTCCTCATTGGAGCCCCCCTTACATCAGGGTCCCCATTAGATCCCCCCTTACATCAGGGTCCCCATTAGTTCCCCTCCCCCTTACATTAAGGTCCCCATCAGTTTCCCCCTTACATTAAAGTCCTCATCAGATCCCCCTTATCACAGTCCCCCTCTGCATCAGGATCCCCATCGGAGTCCCCCCTCTGCATCAGGTTCCCCATCGGAGTCCCCCCTCTGCATCAGGTTCCCCATTGGAGTCCCCCCTCTGCATCAGGTTCCCCATCGGAGTCCCCCCTCTGCATCAGGTTCCCCATCGGAGTCCCCCCTCTGCATCAGGTTCCCCATCGGAGTCCCCCCTCTGCATCAGGTTCCCCATCGGAGTCCCCCCTTACATCAGGTTCCCCATGAGAGTCCCCCCTTACATCAGGGTCCTCATCAGATCCCCCTTATCAGAGTCCACCTCTGCGTCAGGATTCCCATCAGAGTTCTCTCTTACATCAGGCACCCCATTAGAGTTCCACCTTTCATGAGGGTCCTAACCACGAGCTGGATAGAATCTTGCAGCGGCCGTATTTGGCCCATGGGCCGTAGTTTGGAGACCCCTGGTTACCTAAGTTGATCTGAGCAGTAATTATTGGAGGTGGTGCATGTCTATATTGAGAATCATTTGTGGCTGTTAGATGAGATCAACCTATGAATGGAAAGCCTAGTGACGGCTCCACTCTTTGATCCTTCCCCTGTTTGAAAGGCTGTGTGTACTCTGCAACCCAGCATGATGAACATTCTAAACCAAAGTGAAAAAAGCGAGTTGTTAGTGTAAATATTATGTTTACTTAATAGCCAGGTAACCTTTCCGCTCCACTCAGCCTGTTATCTAATGATGAAAGGTAGCTAGGCACATAGGTTTATGACAACAATCAAGCTGCTATAATAGGGCAGTACAAAGTGTCATATCCAACAGCAATTCATCAGAATTCCTCTTTCAATGATCTGACATCAATAAATATGGTTTTCTGTCGGTTACTCATGGGAACTTTACTAATTGTCTTGCTATTTAACACTGACCGTATTTTTAGATACAGATTAAATATCCAAAGATAGTAAAATGATCATTTAATGTAGATTTATTTGTAAGATTTCTTTCAGAAATGGATGAATAACATGCTTTCTAAACACTACAACAGTACAGTCTACTACTTCCTCTATAATAGCATCTGATGACATCTAAGGCTCCATGCACACTGGCATAAAAATCGCTGCTTCTACAGGAGTTGTGTGTTTTCCCTGTAGAAGCAGCTCAGTGTTATCCTAGGTGTCCATACACATTAGGACGATTAGAAGCATACCCTTCTGATTTAGCGTTTTTGATTGGAGATTTGTGGCAGAAAAAAAATGCTAAACTGTGTACAAAAATGCTCTATATCTGCTTTTTTTTTTTTTTTTTGCCAAGGGAACTGGTGTTTTTTTTAAGCCCAGTGTGAGACTAAATCTGTTCACCTTTCTTGATCTCTTCTTGTCTGGCCTGAGTCGCTATAAGGAATACTGTATATCTTCTATCCAGCTCAAAATGAGTGTCATGTTTCATACTATTTGTTTGTTTTGGTCAGGAATGAAAAAATCAAAATAAAGTTTTTTAAAACAAGTCCCTCTCTTAAACCATGTTCATATGAAATATTGCATGTTATTTTTTGGTAACTTTAGCCAGGAAGTAGAGCTCTCTTCTTCTTTTCTTATACTTTCATATCTCTTTACAGCCTGATGCAAAAAAAAAAACTTTTTACAGACCTCAGTAGCTCATGCCAAAATGTAGTTAAACACACAAAATTGAACAAGTCATAGGAGTAACTCATCCCCTAATGGTCTGCTCAGTCTATAATTCCCATCGGTTTCTGTATTAAAGCAGGCAGTGTAAAATGAAATAAAAAACAAGAAGCGCACCAGCCTTGCGCATTACCTCAGCGACCAAAATTTATTACTTGTAAAAAACATACTCACAAACAGCGAATAAAATCAGGCATGTAAGTCCTCTCAGGGACTTGAAGATAACATGAGTCCCATCAGGGGAATAGGTGTTCAGTACAGCTGACGCGTTTCGAAGGGAGTCCCTTCTTCCTTAAAGCAGGCAGTGTTTGCTGTGATGTCTGTTTAGCTGCATAGTTCTACAATACAAACCCACAATGTAAAACAAAGACTGCATTTGTATGTGTATTTATAGTTTGTAATAAGTTTAAAAACATATAAACTAACCAGAAAAAACTATTCATATTAACCCAAAGCTATTATACTTCCCTTTTAAATACTTGTCCTTGTTCCTAGTTTTAATGCATCACCCGTCTTCCCTTCTTTACACTTGTGCCTACATAATACACAGTACTCAGTACAATTCTCAATATACATGCAATGCTTCCTTCATGTATGACTATGTGTGTGACTCCCTAAGTGACTAATATCTTAATTAATACACATATCATATTGCTTAAACCATTTACAATCATCAGTGAAAACCAATATATCCAAAAAAATACAGTAAACATAAACAGGATTCCTTGGTGATAATACTCAATATAATCCCAGTCCAAAAATGTGTTTTCTATATCCAAAATGGAAATCTTCCTCCACTCTGTGCACAATGAACAGAATTCCGCACCAACATGCAAGTGGGTCCCACCACCTTTCC